CCCGGAGACGAGGTTAGTGCATTAAATTGTGATTTTTGTTGTTTTCTTTTGTGAGCGATTTGGTTAGAGGTGCGGAGGGAAAAGGGCTCCGCTCAGCAGCATCGCGTCGGAGGCAGAAAAATGATGCCTAGCTCGGTCAGATCGGGAGGGACGGAGGCTCGGCTTTCAGACGATGGTCACCCTCAAACCGCTATGTCGTGTTAAAAGACGCCTTGTTTTTACGGTTAAATGACAGTTTCAGTGGATGGATGTGCCCGTTTGCCTTCTGACGTGATAAAAAAAGATTTATTTTAATCGCAGCAGCACAAAGGCAGCGTGGTAACGGTCTACCACATCATCCATGTTCGATCATCTATCCGCGGCTTCGGGGGGGCCTTGGGCTCCGGAGTGAAGTGCGCGATGTTCGGTAATAAACTGCGACTGCTCGGGATCATCTGCACTGGTGACACCAGCGGCCTGCACATTGCCATCACCATATTGATCCCTTATTAGTAGAAACAACAGGGATACGGGAGCAGCGTCAGGTTAGGAAGATTGTAAAGGGATGACTTCCGCCAAAGATTTACAAAATAAAAGCTTGACTGAATCGAAGAACTATAAACGTGTACAGCAAACACCATTAAAAGGCAGGATATGTGTATGGGATGGATCAAGAGACAAAAATACAATAAATAAAAATATAAAAAAAACAGGGTCTGTTTTCCTGTTATAGATATGTGGTTTTTGTTTTTTTGAAGGGGATGTGTCGTGTCCTGTGTAAAAAAAATTGATCAAACAGTGTTTTTGTATTGTTCAGATCCATTATTAAAAGGTTCAAGACAGTAAATTCTTGAAGCTAAATAGGTGAAAACCTTGCAAATGCTCAGAACTGCAGAAAACATAAATAACACGGAACTAAAACTTGATTTTTATCTACGTTTGATCTCACATGTGATGGATGGATCCATTTTTGCCATAGACCCTACTGAGGTTGGTTACTGATACTCAGAACAAGGCTACATATCTTTAGTATTGATCTGCCCATCCCTACTATGCATCAGAGGTAATGTAGAACACAAGGAAATAGGAGATCTAAAATGTTATCGATGCACTGATCTGAGATTTGGATCAGATGACCGCTGGACGCGGACTCAAAAAGACAAGCCAATCAGGTTGTCAGAGCATCGATGGGGAAAAAAGAGGCAAAAAATGAAGTAAATATGTTTTTCAAAACACTCAAGTAACCATAGTGGATTCAGTTTTATGGAGTTGCTCTACTGTAGCATGCTCTCTGAGGCTTTTATTTTTTAAGGTTTCTTCCTATTGCTGCTTTTTTTGTGGATAGTTGTTGATCTGTTGAGGTGCATTACATTACATTATGCGACATGGTGGGGATGCAGATAACTCATTTGAAAGGCATTGTTGTGTCACGGTCACATTAATGTATATGTATAAAGTTTTACCAACTAAATTATTACATAATGAAAGAAAATGCCATAAAGTGACGACACTGATCATTCTCTCAGGGATCACTGTGTGATGTCTTGGTGACATCTTTTCTATTTTGTGGTGTTTTGTTTAACAGTTCAGTTGTTATTTGATTCAGGGATTAACTGAATACTTGTTTTGGGCTCCAGATGTTTTGTCTGCATTGTTTATGCAATAATA